GAACTTAACTACCTTTCTCATGTAAATATTTACATGCACAGATTACTTTAATTTTTTTAAGAAAATTACAGATGACATTAATGAAATAAATTCTTTAAAGGAAATCATGTAGTTTTGTAAACCATAAAAGTTGAACTCAACACACTTATCCCTAGAATCCTGATATAATATTTATTGTTCCACGTATTTATTCATCAGGCTTCATTTCATTAAGATACTAAGCTAACAGTGAAGTGCTTGAGTGGTCATCATACAAGCAGCATGTAAAGGGTCAGACCAAGTGTGACCTCACCTGAGCTAAATAAGAAATGAACTGATGTTCTTTACCACTGAAACCTAACTACCAGCATGTTATTACTGCATTCAAATCATGATATGATGTTTAATTTAAAAGAACACTATGTATAATCAATTTTTTGTTAATATCTAGCTATACAGGGCTACAGAGAAGTTTTGTAAATGGTAAAGTGAATTAAGGGGGCTTTGTCCCCTTCATATTGGAGTTTTTATCTGACTAACTCTGATAGATCACAAAATCCTTTCCAGAAAAGCTGAGGTTTCAGACCTCCTTATTCTGATAACTTGGTAACATTATTTATTTATTAAGGTAATTGCTTTCTCACAAGAAACACTGTACTAGTGAAATTCCTTGGAATAAACTACAGAAAAATTATGAAATGCTAATAATAAACCACAAAGATTTTTTTAAGGAATTTTCATTTAGTAAAAAAAAAGCAAAAACAAAACCCTGTTCTTGATAAAACATCTGGCAGGCTTTTTGAGTTTTTTTTTGTTTTGTTTTGTTTTGCTTATTCTGTGGTCACACCTTGAAGGTTGCATGCAGTTCTGCTCCCTCTCTTTCCAAAGCAACACTCTGCCCACATAGCCACGGGCATAGGCTTTCCCTTGTGCACTGTTTCCTTCTTCATATCAGGGATGCTCCTGTCTTTCTGCTACCATCTTTCTTATGCACCGGGTAACCTGCCTACCCAGCCTTTTTGGCAATTTGTGCTCTGCTTTGACTTAAGCCAGCTCTGGTCTGACAGTGCTGTGCTGAGGTTAATATAATAAAGCCATTTTTGAATTGGAGTTCCTTCAGTCCACTTCAGCAAGATTACCTGAAAGGCTCACAGACAGCCTGGCAGCTTGCTAGCGTGCAAAACCTGAGTGTAAACTTCATTTGGCTATTTCAAGACCCTGTTGGAGGGGAGGAGAAATCCAGATTTGGGCTGTGATGATTATTCCTGTTTAGCTCTTAATCATGTTAACACTGCTCTTTCCATAAATTGTCTAGATTAATTGTGATGAGGTTGGTCAGCAGCAGGGAATATATTCAGAACAAGGTAAAACTTCACATCTTCACATCTTCCTTGGAACAGGGCAGGGTATCAAACAGGGAGTTATAAAATCAGGACCGGCATGAAGAATGGGAGCGTGAAACAATTTAATAACTGTTTCTCAAAATACAAGGGCTTCAGTCAGCCAATAGAATTATTGGATTTTAAACTAAATTAAGTACTTTTTCACACGATGTACCATTATATCGTGAATTCATTCCCCATGCAACCTTGTGAGGGCTAGAAGTATGAATGGGCTTCTAAAGCGACTCTGAGTTCATACAGACCACTCAATTAGTGACTAAAAAACCCATCTGGCCTGGATGCAGACTCAGAAGGCTCACGCCTGACTAATGGGATGATATACATGGACCTTTTCTTAAAGTAATCTTCAAACATCTTCAGCTCTGGCTACTTCTGGAAGAGAGGATGTAGGATCAGCAAACTGCTGTCTCAGTATTATAGTTGTGCATCCTAAGTCCCCTTCTGCTCTGGTCTCTGATAACACTGTCCCTGAACGTGTATCTGCTGCTGTTAGGGACCCAGATGAGTATCCCACAGTAGAAAATAACACGCAGGGCTAGACCTGGGTGTCAGGCTTTGAGAGGTGAAATAAAAACAGAGCATGGATGGCCACTCAGCTTTTTAGCTTTTTAATCTGAATCTTGGAATAAGAAAGGGTAAACAGTAACAACAAAACATATGGTTAAACTGAGAGACATGTGGACTCAGAATGCTATCTTTTAAAATTTCTGGAGAGGAAAGCTCAAAGTAAATTATGATTGCTCTTTCATATATAAACAAAATTCTAACAAGAAAAAGCCATTATATACCACCAGCTTTGTCTCAGTTCTCCCTACTCACACTAGTATGGAATGGGATAAAAATTGATAATACTGCATAACTTGTTAATATCAGTTTTCGTTTGTATATCCAAGGTCTATATATTGAAAACTAGCATATTCAAGGTATACCTTACCTTGATTTTGAAGCATGCTTTGGAGCTTTTGAAATCTTCAGTAGACACTTTCATTTGTAGATACCTTGAAAAAAATGGCATTATGGTACATTTGCAAGTGAAGATTTCTTTGGGGAAATTTATCTTCTTTACTGCACATTATTTCTTTTATATTGTATAATACGTGAAGCATCTAGAAATATGTTGCATACATCATGAAACATAATCAATGTTAGCCCTGTAAGTTAACATCCAAGAGCTTGCCCGGGATGCCAGGCTGCCACCCATGCTGAATGGTGTCATTTTTCACTTCTCCTTACAAGCTGGGCCACTGGAGGGGGAAAGAACTGAAAAGTCTCTCTAAGTATACCAGAAGGCACAGGCTGCTATAGTCTAGTGTTTCAGGCAGTTGGTTGGGCAATGTGGGTCTTTAGACTCCAGCCACAGTGCACAGGATTCTTTCTGTTTTATATTTCTGGAATTTTTATGCATTTTATTTTAAAACAGTAATTGGATAAAGGCCCGTCAAAGTTTTTTAGATATTTGATGCAAGCACGGGATTGAAATTCGGAAATATATATAAAAAGAATTAGGACTATTCTCTTATTGTAATGCCCAATGCTTGAAAACTATGTGAAATACTGTCTCGCTGTCAAAATCCAAGTTTACTGCACAGAAATATGTTTTTATTTGATTTTCTGTTTTACTAATCCTTAGCTATTAAGTTGTAGAGTACAGCACTTGTAATAAACTGTGGAGTCATATCTTTCTTGAAATAAAATCTACAGTTTTCATTTTGCTGCAACACGTGTCCTTGCTCAGTAGTGGATATAGAGACCATGCTAGGTAGAGAGAATGACAAACATACAAAGTTTGCTGTTTCAATGTGTATAATGATAGTGATGTCAGGGCAATAAAATAATGGTGGGGCCCCATGACATGTAGGTACATGCATGCCTAAGCTTTCAGGAAAAATGAAGCTTATCTTCATTCTGGCCTCAGTCTTTCCAGCTGTTGGCCACCTGGATGTAAAGCAACACAACTATGTCCAATATTGCTTATACTTACGTATTCATATAAGACCATTTTATGCATGTATAAAGATCTATTAGAGCTAATGTAGTGCATGCCTAGTTATATGATATATCTACTTAGCTCTTGCAGAGACAGTGAGAGCACAGTTCAAACACAAAAAAGGAAGTTTTTTATGTTTTATGCTTCTAATAACATGGGCTTGGACTTGCGCTGATTGAATAGTTCTGAATAAAAGCAGAATGAAAGGTCAGCCCATAAAGAAAAGGTCTGAGACATCAAAAAGCGTACTTGTAAGGACGAGGATACTTTTGAAGGGAAAATGATATTACATTGGAAAAGATCAGGCACCTTTGAGAGAAAGAAAAACTTAATGCTATGGAAGAAAACAAACCAAAAATATTAGAAAAAAATATTAAAGGGAAAAGTCTTCTAAAGGTAACAAAGAAAACACTGAACAGCTCCTTTTCTTTTTTCTTTTTTTTTCTTTTTTTTTTCCATTTTAATACTATTTAGGCAAATGAAAGAAGTTCAGAGACCAAAGCTAACATCTAGTATCCTCTCACACTATCCTATTTAGAAAAAGGTGATGGGAATGAAGATGAGGTTGAAGACCAAAGAAAATTAGAAGTAAAAGAGGCTAACAGAGAAGAGAACATACATATAATGGAATATTGATAAAAGGGTTTGGTTTGTTTTTTTTTTCTTCTTTTCCCTTTTATATAAGAAGAGTATTTTTGATTTTTAAATATGTATTTTAACTATCAGTAAGAGCAGTAGTGAGCTTAATAATTGAGCTTCTCCATTGTTTTGAAAGGACATTAAAAGCAGTGCTATTCCTTGACTCCCTATTTCCATGCATAATAACACCGTACACAGAAATACATACACAGACTACAGATGACTGCTTGTTTGTCAAACAAGAACAAAATATGTGTTTGTTCTTGTTTGACAAACAAGAAAAGAAAAATGCCACAAACCAAAACAGCTTAGGTTATGTTATAGGAGAGAAACAGGGAGGCAGCAAACAGCTCTAGCTGATCCAGTGGTTGTTTTCTGAGCCCTCTGCATGTTTCCTCAGGAACCTGAAGTGTAGGGGTTTATATGAACAGAAATAAGCAAAGCTGAGCTTGGACTATTAATTGTTTCAAGACTTCCAGTCCCATTTGTGAATGAATGCTTAATTTGAAGTAGGCTTAGAACTAAGATCTTGGGGAGAAAAGTTAAAGAGTGGAGCAAGGGATCACTGGGAAAGCAGGCAGAGGAGAGCAAGGAAAAGGAAGATTGCCACTTGCCACTTCAGGGAGTTTGTTGGAATTGGAGAATAAAAGCAAAATATAGGGCAGTCTTAAATAAATCTTCCTGAAAACGCCCAGGAAGCTGCACTTTATATGCTTTTGAAAATTACTTCTCATTTCCTTGAAAACTCTTTACTCTTCCTCACTGAGGTACACCGGATATAAGATAGTTTTTTGGTTTGTTTCCTTTTATGAGGATTGTTGCATACTGGAAAAGGTTGTGCAGAGGGGCTGTGGAATCTGTGGCCCTGGAGGTTTTCAAAACCTGAGATACCTGACAGGAATGCAATGTTAACCTTGCTTTGTGGAAGAGGCTGGACGTCCTGAGGTCACTTCCAACTTGAATGATTGTGTGAGCCTGTAACATCTCTGTTCTTTTTATCAGCTAGGAGGAGAGTAGGAGGTGGGACCTCATGGTTGTGTCCACACTGAACATTTTATATGGAACTTTAAACGCTACCAAGACCAACCAACTGAAAAAGAAAGAAAACAACCCACAAGATGAAAATCGGGTACATTACTCAGTATTTCTAATTATTATTGGTTCTCACAAGTGAAATAAATGTGGAATTAAAGAGCATTTATTGCTTAGGGTTGTTTTAGCCAGATCTCAAACCCACTGCAGTGCAGAGAAGTTTTACTTTGGATAGCTTCTCTGTAAAGTCCTGTTACAGCAGGCTAACAAAATCAAAGGACACCAATTATTGGAAACTTTAATAGCAGATTTGTGGCAGTGCTGGTTACACAGCTGACTGGCAATGCCACTGCTGGGGAAAGATATTCCATCTGTCCAATGACTCTTCTCTTTCATGAGAAATCAACAATGCTGTGCCACAGTACAGAACCTGGCAAGCACAAATAGAATCATAGGATAAACTAGATTGGAAAAGACCTTTAAGATCATCAAGTCCAACCATTAGCCCAGGACTGCCAAGACCACCACTAAACCATATCACTGAGGGTATTATCCTCACAAGGCAGTTGAGAAGCTATTATTGTGGGTAGATTATCTTGTCATAGCTATCTGATTACCTAAAGTATCACACATATGGTGATCCTGATTTAAGATGATACTTTGGTAATGCATATCTTTGGTAACCATTAGCTGGTGGTATATCCATGGAGGAACACGCAGAAGATGACATTAAAATCTTGTGCAAAAAACCTCAAGGATTAATGGAAAATAATGAACATGTTCCTTGCTGTGGCATGTACAAGGATCTAGACTGGATGAGGACCCTGAAACTGTCACATGCAAAATGTCTAAGCTGGTAAAACCTGAAAGCTGATTTTCCTAAAGAGCTGAGCAGTTCACTAAGTGCTTTCCTTTTCAAAATGTGGGTTAGTGAAATCACACATTCTCTGGCATTATTTCTCAGTGCATGCAGAGGTTTGGCTCTTTATGACAGGTTAAAGTGTAAGAAAAATGGGCTTGAGAAAGAAGGGTAAGGATAGGTCCCTAATGGCTTCATAAATTTTATTACAGATCAGGCATCTTGACTATTTATTAATGAACAGTTTGCACCAGGAGTACTGCTTAATTGCATGGTGTCTTTTGTCAAGGACTAGTTTAGGAATACCCCCATATTTGTCCTGGGACAGTTTCATCAATTTGCTGAAAAGATATCTCCACAGTTTGCAGCTGCTCTTTTGACTCTTTACCTTTCCCTTACCTTTACTTCCCTGATTGAAGCCACCACTTTACATTTACTCTTAGTGAAAATGTTGTATTTTTCAGATGAAACCTAGGAGATTTGTTACAAAAAAAATCCTGGTTTTCTTCTAGAATGTATTTTTATGAATAAACATTGATCGGCTTCAGGTTTTGTGTCTGTCTTTAAAGCACTCAGTATTGATTGGCATCATGCTTGGTTCTGTAAAAGAATACCTGTAGGTAAATCCTATGTTCCTTCATAATGGAAAGGTTCTCTAATACCAGTCAAATTTCAGATGAAACTTTTGCAGTTCCTTTTGGGGAATAAAATAAGGGTTTGATTCTTGGACAGAGGCAGAAAGCACTGCCTCTGCAGGCTCAGAAAGCAGTCTTTTTATCAGGAAAGAGAATAAGTTGTTATCAGTTACCACAGTAACTGAACTAGAACCAGTTATTTCTCATTTGCTCACTAAAATATTGCTAGTAAATCTATGATCACTCTACCAGACATGCACTACTACATCCACTGTAGAGAAGATCCTTTGCCAGTGATTCGATCTGTTTTGGTAAGGTTGAGGTTACTTAGAAACAAGAGAGTAGAGGAAATTATTCTCAAAATCTGCAAGTAGCTCAGCATTTCTCACCATACTTTTTTTCCCTCTTCCAGGAAATGCAATAGCAACAGGAGGTGCTGGTCTAGCTTTTGACACAACTTTTAGTTTGCTTCTTTACTGAATGTTGTGGGTTGTTGGTTTATTCCTTCCCCTCCTCTCCCCTCTCCCCAAGTTATGCACAGTTTCTTTTGGCAAAAGGAAGCACTTCAACTGGGCTGAACTTTGGGATGTGACAAAATGTAAAGCCTGTGGGGCCTTTTGCATGTTTATGTTCCTTTTGCAAACATGTACAATGCCAGCTGTGCGAAATGTCCCCTTCTTTCTGCCTAAGGCTGGGCAGGAAACTGTACCCTGTCTTCCTATGCTTGGCCATGCTAATCCATGCTTGTGATTGCCAAGTGTGATTGCTGCAATACATTGCCCTGAAAAATCAAACCGCTAGCCAAGTAAATAGACCTAAAGGGAGAAATGCAAGTTTCCAGAGAGGTCTCTGGGCTTATTGAAATACAAACTGTGGACGCTAGGTCCAATGTTTATAAGGGATATGTCTACCACATAGCAGCTTTCTGGCATTTGCATGAGCAGTCTCCCACAAATATGAAGAACCCTAAACCATAAGACAAACCAAAAACCTCTAATTCTGTTAAACAGATTCTGAAATACCACAGGTTAGAATACAGGTTATGTATTTTCATGCTCTTGAAAGCCCAGGAAGGAACTGTGGCCTTCACTGTGATTGCTTTGTAGTTGTGTTACTTATGGATGTCTCTGAATATTCATCCCATGCTGATAAAGTTGACTGGTCATCTGCTCTGTAAAACTAGTCCATGTTGTTTCTTCTTGGTGGATTCACGAGCTGAGCAATGTAGGTGAAAGTTATTAAACCCAGGGCTGTTCATATCTTTTTAGTCCCTTACCTTTCACACACAAAGTGTTTTTGTTTCTGACATACCTTGTGCAGTCTGCTGTAGCCCCCAGCCCTTCTTTGTATTCCACATTAGGCAACAGTAAGCTATGTCCTCCTCCACAGCACTAGTCATGCCTCGACATGTATGGTATTTTTAGCTATCTGAAGTTTTCTTTATTAATGGAATAATAGGTATCCTGGAGTTTCTTGTTACTGTCAATGACTGGATTAATAATTTTTAGAAATGATTTTCTCTAGTATATCTATCAGAGAATCTACTTTCTCTAAAAATTTTTGTGTGAACAGATGTGAAAGTTATCTTCCTGGTGTGAAAGATAATGGCAAGAAATATGGCACTGAGAATGCCAAGAAATGGCACTGGGAAACAGTTAAATTCTTCTCTTGACCATTTGAAATTTGCATGTCACCATTTTATTTGTGATCCTTGCTCTTCTTTTTCTTTTATGTTCTGTGAATGATTCGTATTTTTCCCTTGCGGCTGCCAAGAACTCATTTGGTCAGTGCCAGTTTCTAAACTAACAGCCAGTTTCAACTTCCTTTCTCTCATGTATAAAATAAACCTGAACTATTGAATATTCCTGTTTAGTTTCTCACTCCAGAAAGTGGGTTAAAAATAGCTACACAGGGCTCATGCAGCTACTAAGGAAGCAGGCTGGGACTTTGAGACTGTAGTCAGTTTAAATTGCTTCTTTGTCATATTCTAACCTGTACTTATCCACTCTTGTCTTCACTTCCTGTTCCCTTCAGAATACCTTAATATTTTTATCCTTTAAGCTTTCATTTTCCTTCACAATCAACTATAAAAGAGGAGTGTGCACAGAGGTTTTTTTACACTGACATGGTAGATTTGTTTGCGGCACATTATATAAAGTGTATTAAAATGTGCTGTCTACTTAGTAATATCGTGGTTTCATAAAATTAGTGTCTCAAGAGCAACTGCTGAAAAAAGAATGACACTGGTTGACTGAGCACTAGGCTTGTGTTGTGTAATAATTAGTCATTTATCCTGGAGGTTATTAATTTTGCCTGTTTATATGGAGGAACTTTATGTGTTTTAACCTAAGTCCTCTTTAATTTGAAATATCTTAAAATCTGAACAAAAATTACCCCCATGGCAATAAAGTATGAAGAAGCATATGGGGTCAAAATATAGTCCATTTTCAGTTTGATTCCTGCCTAGCAATAGTTTTGGTGGTTTTTTTTTTGTTTTCTTCTGTAAGCAACAATGAAAGAATCACTTTGTCTTTCTATCTAGTGAAAATAAGGTGTAATAGCTACCAAACTATTGCTATGGAAGTACGTTTCAATAAATGTTTATTTCCACTAGAACTGAGAAGTTAACTGAATACCAATGACATTCTCTTCTGCCTTCAAATATTGTCTATTTTACTACTATTTCACCTGCAAATACTTACTGCAGATGACTGGAAATTGGTATATTGTTTAGTCAAAGTAATAGCGGTAGCTACTCTCACATCCTTTGAATGTTCAATTGAAAACCTTGGGTCATGTCTTTCCCCTCTGAGCTGACCAGTTTGAGCAAATTTAAAATCTAGATTGTTGGTTCAGAAGTGGTGAGGAGCACACCAACAACTGGTGCTAGCAGAAATGATGAACATAGAGCAGGATACAGTCCAAGTCCAGTAATGTCCACCTGGATGCTCCTGAAGCCAACAGCTCAGGATGAGGTATTAGCAACTCACAGGACAGCGAGAAGACAACAGTACCAACCCAGGGAAAAAAAAGAAAAGGGTGAAGTGACAAAGATGATGTAAAAAAAAAACCAAAACAAAACAAACAAAAAAACCCCAAGCAGCCAACCAACCAACCAAACAAAAAACAGCCTATAGACCTTGCTACAGATTTATGGAAATAATTAAAACTTTTTCCAGGGCCAGGACCTGGTTTTGAATACAGCCTTAATGCAGCTGCATTATACAGCTAATCAGAAATGACGGCCCATACCTGAATACAAAGTAGAAATGGCATGAATATAGCTACTAAGGGCTCATAACTTGGGTAGTTGTAATTCTGTCAAAGATTTCCCTGGCACAATAATGGAACTCTTGCTAATATGCCCACCCAGTCTAACCATCTGCTCTGTGCTGAATTAATATCTATGCACACCAAGATACTGCTGTAAGAGGGATACCTGCCTGAGGCTGCTCCAGAGCAACCTTATGTGCTGGGAGTATTACAGCCACGAGTGTTTGTCACTAGTCTGGGAGAGCAGCTGTTTTGCCACTTTCAGATCACCAGAGTTTCTCACATTTCTCA